GTCTACCCATTCAATATGTCATCATGACACAGAGGAACTACTTCACTACTCCAACGTAGTTACTAATTATATCAGTGTAAATTACGATACCTTCATTTTTAGAATCATAGAATGGTTTGGGTTGGAAAGGACCTCAAAGATCATCTAGTTCCAACCCCCCTGCCATGGCCAGGGAAACCCTCCACTACACCAGGTTGCCCAAAGCCTCATCCAACCTGGCCTTGAACACTTCCAGGGATGGGGCATCTACAACTTCTCTGGGAAACCTCTTCCAGTGCCTCATCACCCTCAGAGTGAAAAACTTCTTCCTTATATCTAATCTAAATCTGCCCTCTTTCAGTTTAAAGTCATTATCCCTTGTCCTATCACTACACGCCCTTGTAAAAAGTCCCTCTCCAGCTTTCCTTTAGGCCCCATTTAAGTATTGTGCAATAAGATCACCCCGGAGCCTTCCCTCCCCCACCTGAACCACCCACAACTCTCTCAGCCTGTCTTCATAGCAGAGGTGCTTCAGCCCTCGGATCATCTTCGTGGCCCTCCTCTGGACCCACTCCAGCAGCTCCATGTCCTTCTTGTGTTGGGGACTCCAGAGATGAACACAGTATTCCAGGTAGAGTTTCACGAGAGCCGAGTAGAGGAGCAGAATCACCTCCCTCAACCTGCTGGCCATGCTCCTTTGGATGTAGACCCGGATAAGGTTGGCTTTCTGGGCTGCCAGCGCACATTGTTGGCTCATGTTGAGCTTCTCATCCACCAGCACTCCCAAGTCCTTTTCCTCAGGGCTGCTCTCAATCCATTCTCCGCCCAGCATGTACTTGTGCTTGGGATTGCCCCGACCTATGTGCAGGACCTTGCACTTGGCCTTGTTGAACTTCATGAGGTTCACACAGGCCCACCTCTCCAGCCTGTCAAGGTCCCTCTGGATGGCATCCCTTCCCTCCAGCGTGTCCACAACACCACACAACTTGGTGTCATCTGCAAACTTGCTGAGGGTGCACTCGATCCCACTCTCCATGTCACCAACAAAGATGTTAAATAGCACTGGCCCCAGTGCTGAACCCTGACGAACACCACTTGTCACTGGCATCCATTTGGACATTGAACCGTTGACCACAACTCTTTGAGTGCGACCATCCAGCCAATTCCTTATCCACTGAGTGGTCCATCCATCAAAAGCATGGCTTTCCAGTTTAGAGACAAGGATGTTGTGTGGGACAGTATCAAATGCTTTGGATAAGTCCAGGTAGATGATGTCAGTTGCTCTTCCCCTACCCATCAATGCTGTAAACCTCATCATAGAAGGCCACCAAATTAGCCAGGCAGGATTTGCCCTTAGTGAAGCCATGTTGGCTGTCACCAATCACCTCCTTATTTTCTATGTGCCTTAGCAGAGTCGCCAGGAGGATCTGCTCCATGATCTTGCCGTGAACAGAGGTGAGACTGACTGGCCTGTAGTTCCCTGGGTCTTCTTTTTTTCCCTTTTTAACGATGGGGGCTATGTTTCCCCTTTTCCAGTCATTGGGAACTTCACCAGACTGCCGCGACTTCTGAAATATGATGGATAGTGGCTTAGCAACTTCATCTGCCAGTTCCCTCAGGACCCACGGATGCCTTTGATCCAGTGAAGTAAAACATCCAGTTGACAGTGTTTGTGAGCACTACATCAGCACAGGATAATACAAGAGTGTTAAAAACCAGTCCTCTAAGGTGCAGCCTTCAGGCCTTGCTGCTGGGAAACACTGTTCCAGACACTGCAGAGTTAGCACTGCTCTGCTTTTTCTTACAGCTAGTTAGTCCTCCCCACTTTTCCCTCCAAAGTGAACAACCAGAACGGTGCCAGTGGTGTATGTTTATCACTGTCCTTCAAAATAATTTAGAGAGGGAAGAAAAAAAAAAACTGTTTCTTGTGTTTTCTTCATAGAAAACTCAGTGTGAATGATTCCTTTTCAGTGACCACCCCTCATATGCTACTTTATCTATGGTTTTCCATTATACTAGATACAGTCACAGGCCACGAGGTCTAGGGCTGTGGAAATGAAGGCTCCTGTTCCCTGACCTCAGTAGTACATAATCTTTTCAGTGAGCAACAGCCACACTAGTTCCAAAATATTCAGTGATTAATTTCAGCTTTCACTTCCAAAGGCAACTTCCATTAGTTGGGAGACACCCCTGGGAAACAAAGGTTCTATTACTGCATCTGTCCTTCAACTCCATCTGAAGGGAGGGTCAGAAGAGAAACATGTTCAGAGACAGCAATATCACATCTGCATGCACATTTTTTTCCTTTCTTTTTTTTACCTTCTCCCCTCAGTTATCTCCAATATTTGTTGTATAGATATATTTAAAAAAAAAAAATCAACTCAGGTGATGTTTTTACAGCTGACATCACAATTATGTGATGGACACAGGACCAATTTCAAAGGAGAAAGAAAAGGTAAGCTTCTCTTCAGGTGTCCAAGTCATCTGGGTAATAAGAGATGAGGTAAATAAGAAGTCAGGACAGACAGAATGAAACCTACAGTTACAGCCTTTTCAGCCAAATAAACTGCACATTCTTCAACAGTGCTAGGAATCTAGTAGTCCTAATTATTCACATAAGAGAAACACCCCAAAAGAGGACAGGAATGAAACCACACAGGTTGCATAATGAAACACCACAGCATGAAATCTGAATGCAGACAGCTTCAGGTAACCACAGAAACATTGTGCTGGCCTTCGATCCTTGGTGACATAATACAACGAAGCAAGAAGTCATGCATTCCCACTCATATGATGCACAAGCATTTGCACAGCTGCAGAACGCTTGCCATTCAGAAGTTGTCTGTGTGAACCCTGTCCATCTCCTTGCACTGAAGCAGAATTGAAATTCAGCAAGTGTTTGTCTAAACTGTTTTTAAAACCTCTGAGCAAGTTGTGTAACACACAGTATGATTTCTGAATACTCACAACAACAAAGAAGTTGCTCTTAAAACTTCCAGTGACGATTTCACGACTTCCAGATGTATCCTGCTAGATTTTTTTTACTAATTTGTAACAAATCTTTATTGCCAAGTCAGTCAAGCATTCCATTTTCTGCACAGGGACATAGAAAACAATCAATCTGCCCTCCTTATAACTGCTTTTAATGTACTAAGAGACTTGCATGACCTCTGTTTTTTCAGCATCAGCCCGTTCCAATTATTTCAACCATACTTGTGCATCACATTTCAAACTCACAATCTGTAGCTGTGCTCTAGAATCCCTCAAACATACCTATTTTCCTTAGAATTCAGTGCCTGTGTTAGAGGTACTCCACCCAAGGACTCACCACCTTCAGCTGACAAAGGTCATCTTCTGTCTTGTAAAAATGTAATTCACAGAACTTTCTCATAATCACGTTTTTAACCTCTCTAGTTACAGAGCACTCTTATCATTGCCATACTGTAGTGCTGAAGAATACAGTTCAGATATCCTCCATCTTCTACTCATGCTCGATTCCTTTTTTTCCAAGCACTTGAAATAGCAATTTATGAATTTCATTCCTTTCATTTTTTGATCTATTTATTCTGATACTTTATTTCAAAATAACTTACATATCCTAAAAGCTTCAGTCTGGCAAATTAGATATTCAGCTTGGTGGAAGAATCAATTTATTTTTTTTTTGAATGAGAACAAAAGTAGAACACTATCAATGTTTTGTTTTCCTTTTTTTTTTCAAACAGCAAACACAAAATATTTTGTTTTACTATGAAACTAAATGATCTGTTCATTTTTCAGCTATATAGTCTTTTACTTCTAGTAAAGAAGATACCTCTAGTATCAAAAATGCCATTTCAAATAAAAATATTTCAATACTTCATCAAACACATTTGGAAATCTTTGAAATCTCATTTCAGCAAATTTACTGTTATTCAAAAAAAAATTTTACCCTATCTTTCCTGGGTGGTTCTCATCCACAAAAGTGACAACTACAATTTCCATTCCATTATCTCAGTTGTTAATGATAAGCAACAGAATTGCTCTGAACAAGACAACAGAGAGGTTCTGTGGGATACAACAAAATATGCTTTTCCAATCCAAGAGCAATACCACCTGCCTCCTTGCAGACATATTTAAAACAACTGGGCACCCACTTTATGATGATTTGATTGTTGTCTCATGAAAATTGCCTTGGGAAGCCTGGAACAGTATTACTAAAGTCAAGATACAGAAAACTGCCTGCTTTTAGGCTACATGCCCTTTCCTCTTGTCAAAGAAGGGAATCACCTTTTTTAAAATTTCTTCTAGATATTTATAAACAGTCTATTTTGTATTCTACACTTAATGTAGAATTTCTGTCACTTTAAAAAATCTGTATCTGCTAAGGAAATTCACAAATGATTTCTAATAAGTACATCTCAAGGATACAGCAAACATGAGCAAATACAAAGAATTATTTATTTACCATAAACCATTCATCAGATTCTTTTGCATTGTCTATGCAAATTAAAAACCTTAAAACTGTTTCTCTGTACGAATTAAACTGCTCTGCCTAGATAGTTCTTCAAAGGATTCTTCAGTCTGCCCACATTCCAAATTGATGTTCAGTGCGGAAACGAACTATCCTAAATACTGTCTATTTCACACTCCACCAAGCTTTGTAAACACAGGGATATGAATCACAAAAACAGTGTACAAAAAATTTGTAGCTTAACCATACGGTCTTGCTTCAGTTACTAGAGAAATGATATAAATATGTGTCATGAGCCACTCACCTGAGCCGAGCCAAAAGGTTAATCCTGAAGTTTGCATAAGAATTAGATTACTAAACAGAGCTTTGTGGATTGACAGTTGCACAAAGCCAGACAAGCAAAACCAAACTGACTTATTTAGCTACAAATGTAGCTGACAATAAAAAAATCCTTAAATACTTATGAGATTATAATCTAGGGGATGGGGTGTGAGGAGGAAAGAGAAAAAAAAAATGAAATTGAGAGAGGTGCTTGTTTGACATCTATGCTGCTTGCATGCTTTGTATGTACCTTGTCTGAATTCAGCTTTCCTAGGAATTTCTGTAAGATAGCACTTTGGCAAAGGGAACGATGAAAACATTGGCCAAGGATACGGATCATTGCCCTAGAAACAGGACCAGAAAGAAATTAATTGAGGAGAAGAATTAATAGCATTTGGTCAATTAACACACAGGTAAAGTTCCCGGAATTGTTGACTTTGGACCAAAATTATGCTTGATACTACAATCCACAGTGAGATATTCCATAACTGGGGGGGGTGGGGGGGGGGCGGGGAACTGAAGCATACAAAATCCAAAAAGCATTTGAGCTAGAATTTTTTCCGCTATATACAACTGTCATTCTTGATTTTACAGTTCTTTTTTTCAACCAAAAGAGAAATTGCAGATTTTATAAAAATAAAAAAAAAACAAAACTGTATTTCCAATTTTATACAGTGATCTAGCTGTCTTTGCTGTACTAACAGTAATTTGCATTTCATCTGACAGCCAGTGAGAGGCAGAACATTTAAAGGAGCTGCTTAACAAACACTGTATTGTTAGAATATTGATGAAAGCTCCGGGTATTAGATACTGCAGATGAAAATCCAAGCACAGAAAAAAAAAATCAAATGAAAGGAAGATATAACAAATGGAAGGCAAATAAAGAAAACACAGAAACATAAAAGTAAAAAATAGACAAATTATATTCACTTTTATAGTAGGAAAAGTAACATTAAAATGGAGCAATATAAACATTTCATCTGAACGCATTATGTCCTAGGCACATGTCAACCCCAGATAGTGGGAACAATGTGATTTTTCAGTGTATCACTTCTTAAAAATGTTAGTCCTGTATAAAGCTAAAGGTGGACTAGTATTTCTTAATGTTAAATAATTTTCCCCATGCTGAATTATGAGCAAAAATGTTCAGTTAATGAAGGCAGGAGTTTTGGAAAGAGAAACTGTTAAACTTTAGCTTCTAACCTTATCCAGTACTCTCGAAGGCAAAATCCTTTCTTGTGGTCCTCCAATAAGATTTATCCTAACAAGAACATGGTTTCTCTCCACTGATAGACCATCAATTATAAAATCCCTGGGAAAAAAAATCAAACACAAAAAATTCCAAGAACCAGAATCACTTCGATTTACTGTCTGTTTATTTCAGAAAACTTAATGAGCAAGAATAACTTTAGAGACATATCAGAGTTAAAATACAACCTGGAAAACACAACAGTATAAACATATCAACAGAAACATGAAGTATTTTGAGATGTCTGCAAGCATTATCCTAACATCCTACTTTCCTACCTACTGTTGACTGGAAACATCTGAATAATTAGGGGACTGGAAAGTGCAGAAACTTTGCAAGCTTTGTTATACCCACATGCTCAGTAACTAGGGCAGAGACAGTTCATGGACCATCAAATTTTGCTCCTTATTTGGTCTACCAGCAAATTTCTGCTGTCACAAATAAGCAGAGTTATTCCTAACTTAACACACAGCTAACTTGCTATCTGAAGTCACTATGTAGTCCAAGGTACAATTTTTTTTTAAAAAGGAATAAAAATCGGCTTTTATACACCAAGTTTCTTACAACTTTTTCCTTGGTAAGGAAATATTAGGTTTCATCCTCAAATGGTATATAACAATTATCTATATTTGCTGAGATTTTATCCATACTGTGTACTGGTCCCAAAAAGCAAACAGTTAGAGAAAAGTTCTTAAAATTCAGCATGCTGAGAGAAAGGGCAAAACATCTAGGACTAAATGACTGTCCAATTCTGTCCAAAAATACACTTTTTCCTTTTGAAAGGGTGCATTGTGCAATTTTATTTAAAAGTCAGGAATGCAAAATCACAGAAGTTGGAGAGTCGACTAAGTTATAATAAAAAAAAAAAAAATCCAATAAAAAAGTACTGATGATACCTCTAATTCATAAACATGAAAACAATACCCTGATTTTATATTACACACATAATATAGAATTATAATATAAAAAACAAATAAAAGGCATACTTACACCCACAAATTCTACACTTTTTTTTAAGAAACAATTTAAGATTAATACAAATGAAAGTGAGAAAGATATTTGCTTTTTTATTTTTTACATGTTTGAGGTGGACATGGGAGAAAGAAAAAGACGTTGTATCTTTTCATAACTTAAGATTGATGAGAAACCTGCATGAAAGTAAACTTATGCACATTACAAGCCAACTTGAGTGAGAGCATTTCCACGTTTAAAGCCACTAAAGTATTCATGCATTTATTCTCAGGACAAAAGTTTGATAGTTAAAATAACATTTACATCAGCCACTTCTTACCCTGGTCCTTCTGAAGTTTCTGTGACATTTTCCTCCTGAGCAGTTAGTAAAACTTGTGACACTTTATACTGAGTCTCCAAGAGTAAAAGGGTATTGAGCTCACAGCACAGCACGTTTAACAATCTGCAGAAGGACACATTGAAATGATAGCACATCAGTCAGGAACCCAACAGCGTAGAGTAAGACAAAGGCGAACATGTTTATGAGATCTCAAAATGGAAAGAAAAAAAAAGAAAAAAAAACCCTTGAAGTATCTGAAAAATATCCAGACAGAACTGGGTCAGGAACACTTTTTTATATCCTTTTTACCCACTCAGGTGGCACAGCCTGGAGCAAACAGGGAATGGTTCCCAGCAGATTTTTCATTGCACTGAAGAACCAGAGGAAACACTGGTCAGCTCAGGCTGCTTTTGAGTTTCTATTAGAGAGCAACAAAAGTGACACAGACTTAATAAGACATTCCACGTGAAATGTGAAGAAATTATAACAGGCTGGTAGGGCAAACTCAGAAACAGGTTGTCTGAAGTGGGAGGAGGGAGGGAGATAAAAATATATCTTTCCTTTAGGAAACAGGCTTTTAAGCACTTCTGTATAATCAAATTTAACACAGTTCAAAAGCAATAAAAGATTTAATATGTAACAAAATCAACAAATCTGCTGTGGTTTTTTAATTTCACAAGACACAAAACAATGGTAAATGAAGTTAAAAATCACAAGAGCACATAACAGCACATTACATACAATTTTCTTTTATAACCTCAGGGCAAATTAACAGGGAAAGTACTCCAATACATTTCATGTAAATCTAACATTTGGGCAATCCAAATCATAGTACTTTTTGTCTTTTTTAAACTAATCTATTCACTTTAACACAGCAATAGAATAATTACATTGACGGCTCCCCATTCATGGAAAATAGTATGACTAAATATTCTTGCTGCTATTTTTATTTTCTGTTTTATCAGTGTCATAAAGCACAACATAAATCAAGCCTGATCAGCATTATATTTTACATTCACATAAGACTTGATATGAACTAGACAATACAAATAGTTTGAAATTGGCAGTTTGTTAGTCAATGCTTACTTTCTTCCATGTAATTCCCAATATATTTCCACTGACAATAGCAAAAGTTTACAAGCCATTCTCTAGATATTTAACACCTGCAAATTCACACAATTGTGGCCAAGAATTAAATAGTCAAGATGATAACATGTCTTTTTCTTATTTTTTATGTTGCATTTTTAATATAACTTGATATGTTAAGTTTTAGTCAAGTTTTATTTATTTTACATTAACACCTTCCTGACATTGATTTGTTCTCAGTACTTTTCTAAATCACAGAAGAAGAAGAAATGACAGTTCAACTATATATTTTTTTATTACCATATAGAGACAAATCCACACAAAAAAAACACTGAAACCATTATGAAGATGGATCATTTCTCCAGTTAGTATGATGACTTTAAATGGAAAGAAACTGCTACCAGCAGTTAAAAACCACTTGAGAAGACTGATGGCTGAGAATGTTTATATCATCTCCTCTGGTACACAAGGCAGAGCAAGAAATAGAACAAACTATAAGCAAATAAAATTAGGTAGAATCATAGAATCATTTAGATTGTACAGGACCTTAAAGGACATCATGTTCAACAATTAACATAGCACTGTCAAGTCCACCACTAAACCATGTCCCTAAGCACCACATCTACACATCTTTTAAATACCTCCAGGGATGGTGACTCAACCACTTCCCTGGGCAGCCTGTTCCAATGCCTGAGAATCCTTTCGGGGAAGAAATTTTTCCTAACATCCAATTGAAACTTCCCCTGGTGCAATTCAAGGGCATTTCCCCCTGTCCTATCACTTGTTACTTGGGAGGAGACCGACACCCACCTCACTACAACCTCCTTCCAGGTAGATGTAGTGAGCGATAGGGTCTCCCCTGAGTCTCCTTTTCTCCAGGCTAAACAACCCCAGTTCCCTTCACCAGCTTTGCTGTCCTTCTTTGGACATGCTCCAGCACCTCAATGTCTTTCTTGTAGCGAGGGGCCCAAAACTGAACACAGTATTTGTGGTGCGGCCTCTCCAGTGCTGAGTGCAGGGAGACAATCACTTCCCTAGTGCTGCTGGCCATGCTATTTTTCATACAAGCCAGAATGCCATTGGCCTTGGCCACCTGGGCACACTGCTGGCTCATATTCAGCCAGCTGTCGAAAAACACTCCCAGGTCCCTTTCCACTGGACAGCTTTCCAGCCACTCTTCCCCAAGCCTGCAGCGTTGCATGGAGTTGTTGTGACCCAAGTGCAGGACCCAGCACTGAGACTTGTTGAACTTCATACAATTGGCTTTAGCCCATTGATCCAGCCCATCCAAATCCCTCTGTAGAACCTTCCTGCCCTCACGCAGATCAATGCTCCTGACCAACTTGCTGTTGTCTGCAAACTTACTGAGGGTGCACTCGATGCCTTCATCTAGATCATTGATGAAGATATTAAACAGAACAGGCCCCAATACTGAGCCCTGGGGAACAACACTTGTGACCAGCCTGGAGATTTAACTCCATTCATCACCACTCTTTGGGTTCAGCCATCCAGTCAGGTTTTTTTATCCAGTGAAGAGTACACCAGTCCAAGCCATAAGTAGCCAGTTCCTCCAAGAGAATGCTGTGTGAAATAACGTCAAAGGCCTTACTAAATTCAAAG